TTTGCACAGAAAATCCAAAAGATGCTTTTAAAACATATTTACCTATATTCTAAGAAAAATGGGCGGAAGGAACCTCTGGCTAATTAATTTCAGCACATGCAGCAGAGTCACGTTGCACATTCATTCGTTATTAACAATTATAAAGAAACATGGGTGAAAACATCAATTGCCTTAAAACAAAGAAGGGAAGGGGAAGAAAATACATACATTTTTTGTCCAGACATGCCAACATATATCTGAGTCAGAATGATAATTACACGGTGTGAGAGGGTGAGCATCTAGACCAACAAGCCAAATACGCTCACCAAAGAAGACTCCCATTTCCTGTATGTGTAAGAGTTTCCTTGGTAAATTGCTGCTTTTTGGCAGTTCAGTTATGCAGTGAAAGATTCTACGTCAGAATGTGCATTACTGTAAAAATGATATTATACCATGGATAAATCTATACACTAGCAATTTCTGTTTCATGACCATCAAGCCATGATATAGATCACAAAAAGGCTACTGTAAAAAAAGTGACTAGACACAGCAGCAACTTTAAAAATAGCAAAACGGTGCTTCTGAAACATTAAAAACAGGATCTGGGTTATGGTGAATGTTTTTTTGCTTCTAGACCAGCCACATCAGGCTAGCTGCTCCCCACCTTTCCTCACCCTCTACATGTGGAACTCTACATCCAACAACTGGAGGGCACCAGGTTGGAGAAGGCTGCCTAACCTTTTCAGCCTTCTACCACCTTCATACAGCCTGCAGCAATTGATTTATGCCGGATCTCAACCCAGACAAGAGAAACAAGACTGTCTTTCCAGGGACAGAGGATCTTTCTTGTTAGGTCTGACTCTCATCACCTGCCTTTGGGGAAGCAGACTGAACAGATGCCACAGGCTAGAGGCAGCGGATTCCTCCCTCAGAGGTCTGCAAAAGCTTCTTATGTTTGGGAAGATTTCCATACAGATTTCTTCTTCCAAACAGAGATTGAAACTTGCTGGAGAATAACAATGATGGAAATTCAATGCTGAGGAAAGGCCAATTTAAAAATCCAGTGAGAGAAAGTGAAATGTAAGCTGGCTTCACTCATTACTCAAAGCCATAATGTGGTGTGGTTTGATTTTGATTTAGCTTGAGGTGTAAGCCCAACCATTGTTGTTTGTAAGACTGCTATAGCTTATACCCCACGGATAAAGCGTAGGTTAGTGTGATATATAAACCAGGTTAATATCAGGGTTCACTTGTCACACTAGGTCATAATGAAACTTAGTTTTGGTATAGCACAACATATGAGCTCACTTCTTATCGTTTCTTGGTATGTGTGAAGTGAGCTTCTATTCAACAAATCGGGGTTAAAAAAATGGAAAAAAAAGAAAATCCCAAGCCAAGATTACTCAGCTAGCTTCCAGGCCAAGAGTGGATTTGAACCTGATTTCATGCCAGTCCATTTGGTTTTAGCTTAATGGCAGGTGCCAGCTCTGTGAATATTCATGGCCACTTAGCTGAGAAGTAGCATCACTGACACAGGAGGGAAATTAACAGTACATGGATGGTGATTTATCTCTAAGGGGTGGGAAAAAGGGTAGCCAAGGGAATGCCATTTCCTTTTCAACCATCACTTTTCTGAGCCTAAAATATTTATTCTCAAAAAATGGGGGCGGTACCCTGACACTAAGCACAGCCGTTCCTTTTTCTGCAGGCGACATTTATCACTGAAATTGATTGTGCCATCTGCAGCTTGGAGACCCTGCAGTTTGCCTGCTCCCCTCCATACGGGTTGGGGCCCATAAATCACTTACCCAAGCAGGCTGAATCGGGTGCAAGGTTGGGATATTGCAGCTGCTTCTCCAGTGGCAAATAGCTTCCTGATATCATCTGAATGCTTGGCACCCCAGGGACCCGGGGCTTCCTATATCATTGCTTGACACATTGTGGCTGCTGGCACACAGCTGAGGCAGCCTCTGGGGATTACACAGGCCCTTGCAAAGCCCAAGGTTAAAAAATGGCAAGAGAGAGAGTGAGCGAACACATGACAAATCCTTGAAGCCAACAACCAGTAAAGCCCATGTGGGCAAGACCAGTGGATTTTTTCGTAATGGAGAAGCCTTCCAGCCCCCACCAAATAGGAATCATACCAAAAGAAAATAAATGTACTATAAAATGTACTGAAGTGATAGAGTGTGGCTGATTCTCAGTTGTATGATGGACATAGGTCAGGAATCGCAGGCGTCCAAGGGATAACCGGTCTTGATCTGATATTATCAATAGCTTCCAGTTATACAGAAGATAAAAATGTGCTCATCAAAGTGACCTGGAAAATTTTTTTCCAATCTCATACTGGCAGAAAGTTAGAAGGGCAGTACATTGCTATGCAAGTGGCCCGGAAGTCATGGCAAGTCTATTACAGGCTCTCACCAAGTCTTACATTATTTTTTTCTTGATAAGCAGAAATCTGAGGCTTTACAAGATTCCCAGCCCTCCCACTTACCTTGCCCTAATTTGAATTCTGCAAGAGGCTGACAAACATGCTCCAAACCCAGTTCTACCCCTTCCAAAAGCATTACTGTGTTTTGGGGATCCTACTTACAACAAATGCATTACACTCACTACACTTGCATGCACCTTTGTAGCACTGTGACTTACATACTCAAAATCACCTTTTCCTTATTCTTCTTTAATTGCTTATGTTGACCAGGACTGTTTTCATATGGGTTATTCAAAGATTTGTTTTAGTTTGTAGAGCCACAAGCATTCCACTGGTACCAGAGGCTTTTTGTCATCCCTAGACACAATCCTGACTGCTACTTGCCATATTTAAGTCTTCCTTCATGCAAAAGTCAAACTACACAGCATGTCAGCACAAACACTGCTGATTCCATGGAAGAGCTCAGGCCTGCATGTGCAGTTGCAGTGTTTACATACTCAGCAGATAGCAGCACATAGCCAACCCTGGCTGATCCTGAAAAAGCTAAATGTTGACTTGTTCTTGGAAGGAAGACAACCCAAAGAGCTAGGATGCAGTCAATGGCAAACCACTTCTGTACTGTGGCCAAGATAATTACATCCATATAAGCAGCTGGAGTCAAGCTCAACCCAAGGAAATCATTACCTTTTTAGGACAACTGAGCAGAAAAGCATACTAATGAAGTGGTTCTATTATGGTTTGGTATTTACACAGGTTTATATGTCTAGGAGGCCATGCACTCAAGGAAATGTCAAAAGCAGTTTCTAAGATGGTCTGAGAAACTGGCACTCTGGGATACAGAGGGAGCCCTTCCTGTATATATCGAATGGGACTCTCCAGGATCACAATTATACTGAATAATGTAATCTAATGTAATGTGATAATATATCATATCATATAACAAACATCTCAGATTCTATTCAACCATCTTGTTTACTTAGTTGTCTTTAAAAATAATAAGCAAAAAACATTTAACTTTGCTTACTTGGTGCTTTTTGGAATGAAAAGTGAAGGAGAATGGGAAAGAGAGAAATATAGCCAAACATGTATGTTTAAGGTTAATCAAAACTTGTAAAAATGTCATTTGCCTGCTCAGTTTTTTATAAGCAAACACATGTATGGCAACAAAAACATTTGCCTCCCTACTCACATCCACTAATCACTCCAATCACTTCTGGTGAATTTCTAAGAGCAAGTTGAAAATCAATCTGCCTGTCTATCCATCCATCCATCCATCCATCCATCCATCCATCCATCCATCCATCCCCCTCCATCTGCTTTTTTTCGGTTTGCAATAAACTTCTAAGTCCAGCTAAATCTTAAGATCTTCTTAAACCAATATAACAGCTAGGAAACTTTCCAGGACATTCTACTGAAGTGGTCTGTGTGACTTGGATAACATACAAACCTTATTAAAAATAAAAACACAAACTTTAGTTGTTCTGTCTGTCCTCTCCCTATATCTTGAATTAAGAGATGCTGCAAATATGGAGAAACACCACCAGCCTGTTCTGTGCAGATCCCATGAAAGCAGAGAAATAAGCCCTCCTTATTGCCCCCACTCTGGCAGAGTAGGATTTCAGCTGGGTCTTAAAAAGTGTCCCACTCTATGTCCAAATGGGTTTGTCCAAGATTTCCACTATTTGCTCCAGCCTCCTGCCTATCCACTTCTTTGCTATCAGTCCCCTAAAAACAAGGTGCTAATTTAAATCTGCTAAAGGGAGGTACTTCATTTTACTGGTTTTATTAACTATGGCTTGGTCTTATGAAATGTGTCAGGGAGATGAGAGTGAATGGGAAATGGAGCATAGCATGAGAATACATACTAACTGGCAGGGTAAAATATGGTGGGAAGCTGCAATATGATAACTACAGAGAAAGGAGGGAGGCTGCAGTAAAATCATAGAACCCAAACTCAAGTGTGCTGGATCTACCAATTAAAGGTCCTGCCTATTAATGCTAGACCAGTTGCTAATAAAACATCTATTATCCAGGATTTAAGTCTGGATGAAAGCGCTGACAGGAGCTGTCTACACTGTTCTGGTCACCCAGACATGGCAGCTATCCCTCTAAACTGGCAGATGGTTGTTGCTTTTAATCAGTAAGATGGAATCCCCATAGCCATTCTTCCTCTCTGCCCTCTTACCCTAACCTGCTAGATCACAAAGTAATCTGGTGGACAGAGCTGGGAGAGAATAAGAAGAATCCCAATCTTCTTTCACCCAGGTTTATTTTTATATAAATAATGTAACATAACATAAACATTATTTCACACCAGGTCAGCGCTTTCATCCAGACTTAAATCCTGGATAATAGATGTTTTATTAGCAACTGGTCTAGCATTAATAGACAGGACCTTTAATTGGTAGATCCAGCACACTTGAGTTTGGGTTCTATGATTTGATTGCAGCCTCCCTCCTTTCTCTGTAGTTATCATATTGCAGCTTCCCACCATATTTTACCCTGCCAGTTAGTATGTATTCTCATGCTATGCTCCATTTCCCATTCACTCTCATCTCCCTGACACATTTCATAAGACCAAGCCATAGTTAATAAAACCAGTAAAATGAAGTAATCCTTCCCCCATTAAAGCACAAATTCCTTCCAGTACTTATACATGAAGAAAAAAGGTTGACTTACATAAGAGGCCATTGTAAGGGCTCCCAAAAGAGCACCCCCTTTGCAATTGTTCCATTAGCTGCAATCCCACCATCCCAAGACAGTGTTCCTTCAAAGACCAGGAAGTAGGAGACAAAATTGGTACAGATTGGCTTCAGCTGGGCAGAATTTCAGCAGTCCTGGTCCTACCAAGAGACTTGGAATGGCAACTGTTATCTCCCTAGCTTCTCCCTAAATGGTTGTTAGCAAATTTCAAGAAATGACTTAGTTTCACAAAGGCAGAAGATACTTATGTTCATTGTCTTTACTATGGAGATACACTTCTGAGCAACTAAAACTCCAAAGGAATAACCTTCCCAGATATTCATTTTAATTCCCTGTGCTTTGGAAAGCTTCGTGGCAAGCACAAATTCATAGCATCTTTTTTTCCCAGCAAGTGTCTACTAGGATGCTCTAAAACACCAAGGAAACAGTATTTCTATTTTCACTGAAGTAATCCACCAGAATAAGTATATAATACCTTTGAAAAACTTATTATTGGCTACCAGTCACATTATGATGATTAGCTGAATCAGCTGACAGCCACGCCAAAGTGCTAAACGTGGAGATAGAATACATGATCATTTTAAGAAGGTTGAGGTTATCTTCTCAAGTCTTAGAGGATGTTGATTTGCCCACACTACAACATTATTTCAGTCTCTGCAAAATATTTTCTCTCCTAAAGGCCTGGTGCAACAGAATTTAACCTAGAGAAACAAAATCAAGAAGAGGTTGATATTAGATGGAGGAAAAGCAGTCACCACTCTCTTTTCAATGCTTTTAAATCCCTGGAAAACAATGTTTTCTGCCTAGCATTCTCTTTAACACAGTTTAAATGCTATCAAAGAGATATCAAACCGTCTTACCGCTGGATGATGCTATTGTTGGCCTGGAGATTGTAAGCTACCATCTTCATCTGCTCCTGAAGCTCTTGCATTCTGTTGAGGCAGAAAAAAAGATTTTTATTTCAATGGTTTCATCTTTCTCCAGCCAAAGACAAGTGGTTCCATGGGTAATAATTGAGGTTGATGTCCCCCCTTCAATAAGCCTCTGAGCCTCACTTTTTAAATTAATTTAATCATTTTACTGGATTTATATGATGATTCAACTGCTGCTGGCTCCGCTGAGTGGCTTAAATCTTTACATTTGTAGGTAGAGTTAAATAGAATAGAAAACAATCAACAATATATCAAAGATCCTATATCAATTTACATATCAAGGATCAGGGAAACTCCATCAAACATATCCCAGTGCAAGAGGGAACAGCCTCATAACATATATACCCCAAAGCTTTCTAGAATGGCCAAGTTTCTATAGTCTTCCTAAACCCCATTAATTTGGAGCTGTCACCAAGAAGGGGGTTAGCAATTGAGAATATCTGTGTTGATGTCACTTCAATTTACTTTCAGGGTCCCATTGGAGGCGACCCCCACCAGCACTGGCAAAACAGGCCACAGCAGATAAATAGAGAGCAAACCTCATCCCATTTTAGCACTAAAGATGTTACC